TTACCATCTGGCCTTGCTCCTTGACAAAGTTCTCCAGCTGTGCCATGGCCTCATCAGCTTCCTTCTCTGCTTCAGTCTTCTGCTTCTCGACGAGCTCAACCTTCTGGACCAACAGGTGTTTCTCCTGAAAGGCAAAATGAAAAAAGAGTACAGATTTATTGGATGAAAACGGAGAAAATTCTTCAATACGTTCAAATACAGGTTGAAAGGTGTATGTGAAAACAATTCCTTTTTACTGGGGGGGGAGTAAATCGTTCACATTAATGACAAGGCTACTCATACGTGATTTACTGACAAATGATGACAACATGCATGGCGTAGGGTCCATTATTTCTTTCTTTGCACAAATGAATTAGTGATATACAGGTAACAACTGACATAAATGATGTTATTCACAAACAGCTATCTAGAACACGTTACCTGACCCACATGGTATTGTTTCAGCATGCAGCTACAGCGTGCAAATTCATAGACACTGCCAACTGGCCAAAAAATCTTCAGCCACAACTTACCGTCTCCCATCGGTCCTCATTCTCCTAGACGCTGCCAACTGGCAAAAAAATCTTCAGCCACAACTTACCGTCTCCCATCGGTCCTCATTCTCCTAGACGCTGCCAACTGGCCAAAAAATCTTCAGCCACAACTTACCGTCTCCCATCGGTCCTCATTCTCCTAGACGCTGCCAACTGGCCAAAAAATCTTCAGCCACAACTTACCGTCTCCCATCGGTCCTCATTCTCCTTGGCCTGAGTCTTCAGCAATGTCACCTTCTTGTGGCTCTCTTCCTTGACCGTCTTGACCTCATTCTGAAGACCTTGAACGACAAACAGAGCCTACGGGGCCAAAGCAGCAACCACAGAAATAGCATTAGGTGATCACTGAAGTCAAACTGGCAATTGGTAAAAGAGAACAATTGGAAAGGTGGGGAATTTCACAAACAAGGATGCTCCCTTTCCGTCATCACATTATTCAAGTTGTATATTCAGCATTTTCGTTCAGCCAGTGAGAAGGAAAACCTGCCCAACAAGGACAAAAATGGAAAACTTCATCCCGTGCTTGGCAATAGTGGGTCCCAAATAATTCACCTCTTTCCGGTACTGCTTGAAGGCAGATGGCAGTTTCTCCTGTGGTACTTTCTCCCATCTGGCCTCATCCTCGATGGGAATCTTCTCCTCAAAAGGCACCTCGTGGACCGGTTCCAGGTTGGACTTGTTGCGAGCTCCTCGTTTGGGAGTGGCCACGTTGGAAGCGGAATCTGTACTGTCTGTGGACAAGGCAGAGACTGGGGGGGGGGATAGGGACACTCTATGTTAGAGAAACATTTTTGATTATGAAAAAAAAAATTGCTTAATAAGCAGATAAACTTTTAAGTTATTTCTGGATTGGTACGTTTCCATATTTTTGATACCACTTTTTAGATCAAATTTATACACTTTTGAAAAGGTTTAGTTAAAGTATACCCCCCTAGCTAGCAAGTCTTAGGGAAAGTTCAAATGTTAACAAAGGCTAATTTCAGGTTAACAACCTCTTTAATTTTGCCCACTCCCCTTATCAACAATACCCCATGAGTTGTCAGTTTGTTTACCTTTTGGTGCATTTGGTTTGGATGTCTTGGGCGTGTCAGCCTTCTGTGTTTTGGGGGTGTCTGGAGTCTGCTTAGGGGCTGGTTTGGGAGTTTCCAGCGCTGGTGTAGCTGTTGTGCTGCTCTGTCGACTTAAGGAGTCCTGGAAAACAAATGTACAAAAGATCACAGAACCAAAATGCAAGCATCAAAGTTGGTAGCATTAGATTTAGTTTGCTGCAGCAAATGGACTTTAGCCAGCAAACTACTGAGGTAAGGATTCTGTTCTGTACAAATACGACACAAGTTCCATTTTTACAGTCCGTGTCAAGCTTTCAAACAATTTTTATTCAATCACAAATTCAAACTAGGAGAAAGTCCTTACCACTTTTTTCTGTACATTCGATGGCTGCCGGCTTGGTGGTACACTCTGAAAGACACAATCAGCAAACACGTCATTTCCAGGAATTTCGTTTCAATACATGTTAGTAAGAACTCTAACCTTCTGCAAACAGCAGGCCAAATCTCAGTGAAGAAACGAGGATTGAGGGGAGAGTGAAATGATGAATCATCACAGAGCTGTCAAGCACAGGATTTTGCTCACTACAGGAAATACTGGCTTAGGTACCCTGCCGATCTTTGTTAAGAACATACAGTTGCTTAACAGCCCCATGAACTTGGCCCCATATACCACACGAAAAGTTAGATATTACTTTTTTAGGAGAAAACAACCTCATTAATGGGATATACTGTGCACAAAAGTCTGTTAAATACAAGTCCAGGGGGGTGCAACACAGGCCATGGCTCCTCCTAAAAAAGTAGCCCCCTAAAAATTTGTTTGATAACTAAATATATGTGATTGTTTTTTCTATTTTTTTCCCTTCCTTCCAAAGGTGTGTAAGCCCAAAAATTGTAGCCTTACCTCTTAGAAAGGCTATAAAAGGTTACATATCATTATTTCCAACTTTTTGGGTCCCCTGGAAATTAAATTCTAGATCTGCCGTTGCTAACTGGCCCCTGATAAAATTCACAGTTCAAAAGGGTTTGACTGGGTACAGGTGTCAGACAATCAGACATTACAATATGAAAATAAATATTTTGAAGCCATCTTTTCCGGATCAAAAATAAGCACTTTAAAATGAGAAGCCTCTGTGATGAAACTGAAGGTTTTTATAAAGACATGTAACTCAAGGTGCATATTTACAAACTGTGCATGCTTTTTATCAAGTAGATTAAATGAAACTGCAAAATCTAAATCAAATTTGACAAGCAGAATTAACAAAGTACGACACACCACAAAAATAACTGAGTGACTGTCTTAATCATAAGATAAATGATGATTACAAGCATATGCAATGCTGAAGCATTTATCGGCGACTGATTCCTATGAAGTTCAACATATACATTTTCTTGAGTTTTCCTGATCATCGAACAGATTTTGAGCAATCAAAATCGGCCCTTCCACAAATTATTAAAGAATAGCGTTATACCTCCCACAGGTGTCTTTTTTATAAGCGTGGTAAGATTCTGCTTCTATAAAGACAACACACAACATTTTAATCATGTGCTGATCATTGTAGGGAGAAGTGCTTGACAAATCCCAAAAGCACTGATGAATATGAGCACGTTTAATGTCAAAGCACTAAATGTAAATGAATTTCTCTTCATGACAATCATGACATTGACAAATTGTGAAAATGCTTAGAGGAGGTTGAATAATTAACATGTAGTTTGCAGCGCACTCATGCAATGTCAAGAAAAGGATTCATTCCAGCAAATACTCAAATCCCTATGCTCACTTGAGGCTTTCACCAGGTAATTGATTTCTTTCTCCAGGAAATTGATTTCTCTGAAAATTTATGCGATTTCATTAAGATAAACCAAACAGCACTCTTAACACCACATAATATTTACATGCATGAGGAAAATTTCTACTATGTGGTTCTTCAGCACGCTGTTTTTCCACAGAACAACTGCATTATTTTATGATGGTTGCAGAAAATTAACGGATGGTTCCTAGCAAACTGCAATGCAATAGCTAAAAACAAAGGGTAAAATGTGGGGGGGAACTGTCAAAATGTGGGTGCATCAGAATATTATTGGTTATTGGTTATTGATAACTAATCAATGCATTTCATTCAATGTCAAGCCAATGATGCAGACATGTGCAGCACGCCAAATCAGCAAACGTTTGATTTTTGGCTCTCAGAGAACTCACGATCGACTCCATGTCTGACAGCGATGACACTGCCCTTGGGGGCGCAGGCAATTCCAAACCTTCTGTCTGCGACATTTTATTCTCCAATTCTGGCTATACTTACCCAGGGAGGAAGGGAAAGCATTTTGAAGGAAGGAAACTGAGTTAGCTTACAGCTACACAACATCCTATCTTCATTTCTCTCTTCTTTTCTTTGGGTTAAATTAAGGGTTTCATTTTATGTTTAAAATTTTTTCCTCAGGGAAGAGCATTCTAATCTAATGTAGTAATATAGTTGAACTGTGATATGTCTATCTTTATTTCAGTTCTGCCCTTTTCATGCTTGAATTTCTAAAGTTGTGAGAATTTATGAAAGCAAATAAAACCAGAATATAACATTTCAGTAATTAGAATTCTCCTCTGAAATAGATCAAGTGAAACTTTTTGATGTATGGGGAAAACCTTTTTCAGAAAGCTAATTTTCATGATTTGGAAGTTTGTTCCTCAGATTTAATGTGCAATTCAACTCATTTCCATTCCAAAGTGAAATTTCAATTTTCCAAGCAGTGACTTTATTCAACAATGATTTGTTCTGTAGTGTGTAACAAATGCATTAAACAATGAACGCTGCATTAGGATAACAATGGCCGAAAACACAGCCAAGCAAGCATTAACAACATTACTAGCGACATGTGTACATTCACAACTTGACATTAAGACAGATCAGATGGGGGGGGTTTGTTAATTTGATCATTTGTGTTTGTGAGCACAGTCCTACCCGGTTAGACTTCCGGCTGGCCAAGTCCAGCTGGCTGGATTTCCGGCTGATACTCGGCTTCTCAGACTCGTCGTCTGATTCTGGTGCCCAATGCTTCACTCTGTTCTGCAGATCCTCCTGAAACAGTGGAGGGAAAAACAGTTTACCACACCTCAAGATATGGGTCAGCTAGGCTACGGTAAGAGATTACTTTCCTGTTCCATGATTCCAGTTCATTCTCTACATATACAAAAGGTAGTCTGCCTTCAACACGGATATGCTTGTTGACCTTTGACACAACATCAGCAAACAGGACACCACATATATCACGGCTTACAACCCTTGAAATTCTCAGGAACGTCTATACTATCCGACATCATGCATGTTTACATGGTGGGGCATCCAAGGGTTGTAATACATTGACATCTGATCTTTGACAAAGCATCAAAGAACATAACACTCTACCCCATCCATACCCAGAGGATCACATCCTATTGGCAAATGTTTACACCCGAGAACACCTAAAGTTCAAGACAGCAGGGAACTACTCCTTTGTTTATGATACATCTCAAAGCTTGCTCAATTAATCATTTCATGTCAGCCTTGAGGATTTCATAGTTCAGAATTGACATCTGTACAATAAATGAAAAGAAATGTGCATTTTGTATCAACTAACATGACTAAAATAAACATGGGAAAAATAGGATACAATAGACCCCTATCAGTTGGTACATGAAGGTAATAGTGTCTCTAACATAGAACGGTATCATTGAAAAGACATGAAGCACAATATCTCTGTGACCAAGCATACACGCTTGATGAAAGATCTACAGTTATCTTTCAAACCTGCCAGTCAATGACCTATTAACAAACCAATGAGTATGCCTACATGGGTAATGATAGGTCACCTCTAATTTGTCAATCTTTTCTTGGTACTCTCCCTTCACTGCTTCCAGCTCTGCATTATGCTGGTGTTTGAGGGAGACGATGGTTGACTCATGGTGCCTCTGCAGATCTGTTTGCAGGCAAAAGAAAGACAAAACTAAACAATAAAGAACCATCTCTGCTGAGCCGAATAGAACTGGAAAATGTACAATGACAGGAGACGCAGACAGAGTTCCAAGTACAGGATCCACTGCTCTAACAAGTTTTTTTCAACAAATGATGGGTGCAGCTGAACTACAAGACTGCCGTATAAAATCAAAGGAACTACATGTACACCTGTACTTAGATGGGAACATGCTTAGTAGGATGTGAAAGCTCAAGAAAAAACAATGACCAAACTATGTGAAGCTAGGGTCTGCTCTTTTGACATTACAGTCGTGTTTTTCCTACAAGTGGCTGCTAAAAAACTAATCCAATCCAATCCAATCAATATGACGTTTATTTCCATATTGGTGAAGATCAGGAAAAGTAAACAATAACACTACAGATATATAAATCAAGAAATTATTATAGAGTAACAAAAACAAGAAATACATAAGTTAAGGGAAAACCAATATGGGGGCTTTTTCAGAAGCCGAGAGGCTTGTATTGAAAAGCCCTGGACAAAGACAACTTTACAGAGAAACAAACAAAAAGCAAGACAATAAATAACAACAACAGTAATAAATTAACTCAAGGGGGAATACCTTATGAACCTAACTATACCTTGACTATGGTTGGCTGTGAGTACAAATGTAAAACAATAATTCACCAAGTGTTCACAATCCCATGTAGCTATCAGAAGTCATGCACTACTAAGTAAATGAATGTACAACCCTATTAAAATAAATGAGAAAAATGTCCAGTTTGAATGAATTGGAGGTAAATTAAAAAACCAACCAAAAGGTGATATTTCTGCAAACTCTGGCCTCCAATATTCCAGTTGTAGGCCAAATAAGAGGGGTCTATTCATGAAGAGCTCAACATAATAAACTTAATGGCTATGTTGTATGATAGTAGACCTTGACATAGCATTGTTAATTAAAAAAAGGACATCAAAATCACATTGAGGTATTAAATAACTACAGAACCTTTCAGTACTTTAACTATTTGAAACTGAACATTAATGCATTGTATTCTCCCCAGAGCCCTTAGGAAGAACAGTTAATGTTAACTGAGAGGAGTTTAATCTGCTTAAATAAAGAATAAATACCACTAGTTATCTACAACAAAAAAGATGTCTGTTTTTTTATTTATTTTGTTTGGTAACACCTCACTCATTCATGAAATTCTGATGTTTCTGAACTGCGAGAAAAACCAGATCAGATATTCAGCAGCTAGCAGCAGGGACAGAGAACAGACTGATAACAGACAAAAGTAGCCATTGAAGCAAACTGATAACACAAATATTCCTTTGTCCTAGAGAGGGGGAAGGTGATTGAGGTGGAGGGCATTTATCATAGCTGCTGAGTGCTTAGGTCAATGAAGGTGTTTTGCACTAGGCTTTTTATCATACGACGCTCCAATAGACTTATCTTTTTGAGGTAGGATCTGGTGGAGTTTTGAAATGCAGTGACAAATATCTGAGATCATCCCATAAAGTGGTATTTTTCAAAGTAACTTTTTTGGTGGGTTTATGCAAATTCTTGGGAAGCAATTTTGTAGAATAGCCGAGAGGCTCTACCAACATGACCATTTCATGATTTCAAAAAACTGTTTTGAACACTAAACAGTACAAATAATTACACTTAATTAAAAACATGCATCAACCAGATAAAAGAAACTCTATTACTCTGAATGTTATGCTTGGGGTACGGACTGAAAAGGTTCACTGTGCTGATATTGCTACATGTACATGTACATTCTATTCAGATGAATAAATGACTTATTACCATTTCTTGATTCGTCTAGCTGCACCTGAAGTGTTGTGATCTTTGACTGAAGTTTGTCAATAGTTTGCTGTAAAACGACAAAAGTCACCAAAAATAGTAAACAAAAATAGGATGTTATACTTACAAACTCAATCTGTAACATGATAAACCAGGTGTTCTAAACTTTAAATCCAAGCTTGTGAGACATTAACCTGTTCTTGAATCACACTACGCAATGTGAGTTCGTGTGGTTGTGTGTACTTGTTACTGTCCACTAGCCAGCCATTGGTCCCTAAGGTTTATGCAAATCAACTTCTAATCAATATTCAGTAGTGGCTTTGTTTTTCTATTAGAGACAAGGTGGTTCAGTGACAATGGAAGCCATGGAGTCCGATGTCTCAAAAGCGATGGAACAATGAACGAATCAATATGTCATAGCGATTACAGAAGGCTTAGAGATGGTATTGATTTTCTAGGACTTGCAAAGATGTTTGAACTGATACAAAGGGTCTGGGGACTAATCAATTTTGCTTGAGCGACTTTGCAAGCCAATGAAAACTTAAGGGCAGAGGGTACCGGCCAAGCATGGGGGAGTCATTTGCAGAAGTGACGAGAACTGCGTAGGTGGCCTTGGTGTTAGATTTGCTTTGTGCCAAGTGAGGGCAGTGTGGATGATTCATGAAGACTTCTGTAAATATAAGTTTATCAAGTTTGTCAGTGGGCCCAAACTTGAAGTACATCTTCCAAAGTCACAAGCAAACTGGTCATTGGCCTTAACCCCTGGCTTGTGTGGCAAATAATATATTGAAGTTGGAGGATTTAGGACTGAGGATTAATATGTGGGACTGAGCTGGTTTTTAATTTGCACTTCATGATCCAAAATGAACAGAAAAGAATATTTTCAGAAAGTTCAGGGATTGGGTATACTGAGGGACCTGTTCAATCAATCAATCAATATTTGAAATTATACAACGTAAAAAATAATACAATCTACAAAAAAACTCTGGCCATGAATCTGGCCATGAGTCTTCACAGCTCTTTAAAATACTACATTCACTTTAATACACTTTCATTCTTTGTCTATCAAATGTACAAGTAGCCTACAAATGAAAACGGCATTTACATGTAGCAGGAAAACAAAATTATAGTTGATAATAAATTTCAAAGTTTTGACTCAGTGAAGGGGAAAGCAATACTGTGAAGAAACTCTCAGATGAGCTGGCATCATATCCACGCAGCAAAGACTAAACATTCGGACAATGTTATAAATACCACGCAAGAAATAATCACAATTTAATATCTCATGAAACTGTCACAGTCAAATGGAAAGTGCAAGTACTCTAAAAAAAAAAAAGTGCAGACAGACAAAGGGCCTTTTCACAAACATGATGTCGATATCTTAATCTGTGTTGGAGTGAACCAGAGTTTTCAAATTGATCCATGATTACCTTGGACATTCAACTGAGTATATCACTCATGCTTTGCAAGTCCACCACAAATCACTTTCATTTCACTCCTCAATCTGGAGTTTTCAACACAGGTTTTAATTCCTGCCTTCTTTTAGTTGACTCAGAAATGGCAATGTGCCAGAACAAATCTTGTTTGGGGGGTTCCCTCTGGGCCCAACTCTGAGATTTTGGCCAAATATTATTGTGAAAAGGGCCATAAGACGCAAGCTAATGTGCATCAATTTTTGTGGATTCAGTGCAAGATAAAACAGGGTCAGAGTGCTTTAATGCTATTAAGGTGCAAACAGTGCTGAGGATGAAACAGTTTCAAGTGCACTAATTCTGTTATTTAGATTTTTTTCTTTCGACTACATTTATGTACATTGTACGTTTAATCTCATGGTAAATCTTCTCTTCTTACGTGTATGTAAGCCATTTATGATTTGGGATTTCACTCGCAAAATGCCTTGCTCATAAACCTCGGACCTTTCTGATATCAAAGGTAGAGTCCAAGATATTTGTTGGTCAAGCCAAATACTGTACATGTAGTTTCAATAATGTTATTACTTCATGTGAACCCAAAACATGAAGGACTCATAGTGACTTCTCCCCAAAAAACCCCACACATTTAAATTTTAAATGAAAACCAAATTCTGCATGAACATGTGAACTGTAAATTTCACAATAAAGGTCTCTTAATCTTGAAAGAAAAATCACAAATACTCACTCTGTGCACGAAACAAATAAAAAAGGATGAAGTGAACCACTGTGAATGGATGAATCATGGATCTCAAAGTGAAAAAATGTGTGACACGGTTGGGTGAAGGAATTGAGGGACTGTTAGAAACGTTACTTGTTTCCTCTGTGGAATCGACCAATCAGATTGTTCCAGCAGGCGAGATAAGGGGGGAAATAAAAGAAAATTAGTTAGGCTGCATGTTAATGAGAAATGTGTTAAACTAAATATTGTGTTAGTATCTTTAATGTTGATATTCAGTCATTAATCTTGATAAACTAACCTCTGAATGAATGGAGTTAACAATAAAAATACAGTGCAGTAAAGGAAAGAAGTGATTGTTGCTTTAGGCTTTGGAATTGCTTAATTTGAATTTCAGGCTGGTGAGAAAGAAGCTGTAGAATATTGCTGTGAGAAGAAAAACAAATACCCAAACTGCCAGAAGAACAGAGAGTTTAAGCCAACACTTTCTCACAACTGACCCTCCAGATAGATAAGATAGGCAAGTACATGGAAAACATTACATATGATTGCAACAGCATGTCAAATCATCATAACTTATTGATTGCAACAGCATGTCAAATCATCATAACTTATTGATTGCAACAGCATGTCAAATCATCATAACTTATTGATTGCAACAGCATGTCAAATCATCATAACTTATTGATTGCAACAGCATGTCAAATCATCATAAATTATGCAAACAGTCAAACTTCAGAGGGCATTAACAGCGCCTCCCGAATGAAAGAAAACTTCTTTTCATTTTGTACCTACTCACTTTAGGACAGTTATGTTTACCATATCATACATCACTGAATAATTTTCTGGGCTATGACAATACAATCAAAGGCAGATATAACACTTTTAACTCTGGTACATGTACATGTATGATGTGATAATCATGCCTCTTTAAGTCCACCATTCCCCCCAGCAAGCAATCCTACACCCATTTCACCTGATCTTCCCAGGAGAGACCCTGTGGCCTGGCATGTCTCTGGCAGACTTGATCATATTTATACAAGGCAGACAGAATGTCAGGCAATAATGTGTCTCTCAACACAATATGCAGTTTGGATGGGAAAAAACCACGGTGCAATGACTAGAAATATTAAAGCTTCTGATTAAATCCAAAGCCAAGGTATTGAAGTAAAAAAACAATCAAAACAGAGAAACTTGGAAATAAAAGAGCTGTTAAAATAAGTATAACCCAAACAAATTTTTTAAAAGAATAGAAAAAAAGGAGAAAATAAAAGAAAACTCTGAACCCCTCCACACATATTTACTTGCCACTGGGGAAGTCCCACCGATCTCCTTCTGTTTAGACCAACCTTTTCCCAAGAGCTCCCTTTGAATATGTTCACTATTTTCCAATCAAGAACCCTGACCCCATCGGGGACATTTTGTTCTCTCTTGTGGAAATGTGGAAACAAAATCACACGCACAGAAAGATCTAAACCCACAAACCAAACCAATCCTAAACTATGTACACACGTATTAAAAAGTACAAGCAACTGATACAAATATCCAAGAGGAAGAACCAGGTAACAGGTTGACAGGAAAAGGTTAGCGATCATCAAGCACCAGAATGTGTTCTGATGAACTGACCAAGCATCATCTTTTGTGTTTGCAAAAACTCTTTGAGTTTTGTTAACCATGGCTAGACCATGGAGGTAGAATGTGATTCTACCTCCATGGCTAGACATGCAAGACATCAAAGTCTTTTGAAACAAACACAACACAGCTAAAGGTAACTACTTACCACAGAAAGAATTTCATGAGCTGCAAATCCCTTCTAAAAAGTGCTTTTAATTTTCCAATTCAGTTTTGAAATACCAAACACAGACTTCCACTGACCCTTACATCAGAAGACAATACAGTGCACTTGCAACAAGACCTTGAGGGTAAACATTAGCATTCAACTTCCCTGATCCTTAACTGTCACAAGATACCACCAGCTCCTACAGAGAAAATGCCTGCTTTACCAACAGCCTGGGCACCAGTCAAAACTGCAGGGTACCAGGCAGACCCCTTTGGTCCCACAGTGTTGACAAACACCATGGTAACTATACGCTACAGGTTGGTGGTGCATGGACCAACCGTACCCCTCTCTGATAAGATTGACCTCCATGGAGGAGAGAGGTCAGCACCTCTAGAAGCCCCCCTGACAGATTTACAGGAATCCTTTTTCCTTACCACTTGCCAAAATTACAAAGAAAATGCAGATTCTGATGAGGTCAAGAAGATAATTGGATTGGGCCAACAGGTGCCACACCAAGTACTGATTTGGAAGGGTTGTAATGCTTTCTTTTTTTCTGGAGACATTTCCACTGACTACATGTGTATGAAGCGAGTTTTTGAAAAACATGCTTCTTAAAGATTGTCTTCTAGAACTGTACCATAATTATTTCATCTCCAATACATATATGTGATTTTAAAAATCATCCATGTGTTTCTTCTGGTTATTTTCTTTCCTTAATTTTCAATCATTGTTTTTAAATTCCTATAACAAACAAATTAGTCATGCAATAAAAGTGGCAACTTAGTTTCTGCAAAACATCTTTGGGGATAAAAGCGACATATATAAAATCTGTCTGCTCCTTTTAAATTTTCTTTACAAATCTTTAACGCAATGGTCAGAGCTTCAGCCAAACTACAGGCAAGGATGGGTAGCTGTATACATCAATGAAATGTGTGCCCCGTTATTGAGAATGCAACTTCATGTAGGTGCTGCTAGGGTCTAAAGTATTGCCAAATTTATGGGCTAAGGGCACTTCTCTGAAGGCTCCTTAAATCACAATGGGTGAGACTATTGCTCAGCCGCAAAGCCAGCTTCCAGGGTTTGATGGTTTCTGTGATGCTTTTCTTCCAAGGTTACGATCAATACTGATTTTTGCACATGCATGATTGTCTCCTCATGTACATGTACTTCCTTGTCCACTAAAGGGCAGCGTAGTAGAACTGTTACTAATAAGCATTCTTTTGTAAGTTTCCTTCTCCATTTGACTGGGATGGTCAGAATTCTTTTTACTTTACGTGTGCATTTTTTTCCAAATTTTTAGGGAAGGGATATTGAAAAAACAACAAAGAAAAATATTCACACATGAATAATTTCTTGGTAAAAAACTATCTTTGCACTTGCAGACAGAGATAACCGGCACTTTTTAACATGGTGCCAACTGCACACTGCAAGATCCTGCCCACCAGGAAAGCAATGCCCCACCCCCTGCAGAGAATCTTGAATAGCCCAAGGTTTGTAATTGCCAAAACAAATGTCAGGTGTCAAGGACTCAACAAAACTCAACTCAGCAAGGGCTGATAACCTTTCAAACAGCCCTGCATTGCATCAAGGAACCCAGATAAGTACCAGACAGACAATTAAGATAAAAGCCATGCTGACGCCTCCATTCAGAAAGTGGGAATGAGTTTTAGCAGGTCATCTGAAGTTTGGAATGAGGGTAAAGTTGTTTATGCTGAATTCAGTTCAATCACATTAGAAGAATCATCTTAACTTAAGGCAGATATCTAATAGGCATGGTTATTATCAATATTTTTAATCCATGAATAGAATCTGACTTTCATGCACTGCTTTCAGTTTTACTTGAGAAGTAGAAAGGAAAAATTGTACATTTCATTTGGCATTATGAAAATCCTTATCTCATACATGTATTAAAGAAACAGATGGCAGCTGAAATAAACTGCAGCTTGAATCCCAAATTTATGGCAATATCCCAGAGATGCGCTCAACAAGGTCATCAGTGAGTTGAAGGATAAATTACAATGAACAGACAAGAACAATGTTAGGCACATACATCACTTGGGCATCTTTTTGAAATACACATCCAACAATTCTATAAGACTGTGGTTTGTTTACTGACAAACGAATGTATTCAAAGGTTTTTCCAGCTCTTCCCAGATGTCACAGAAGGATAAGCTGAGCATGAAACTCCTAGACACCTCCTCAAATTTCACTGAGTCTGTAATTGCTTGAATTGGTGAAATTTTGCTGGTGGTAATTTGACTGATTGTAAATACAACCAATAAATTGCAATCTGTGTCAAAAAGAACGATACGTAACAACTCAGCGGTATTGGTAACTGACATCGTTAGCAAATTGTTTACCATTCATAAATTTCTTCATCAGTTTGGACTTTATATTTCTTGGTGAACACTGGACAGCATCTGTAATGACGTAACTATCATTCAAAACTATCCCTCCACAAAGGTGTTTCATGATAAATATCACTCCTCATAAAAATGGTAACTCCGGTTACTTTTTTGACAGTTATAAATAAAAAGTCCAAATAACACACACTGCTCAGTAAAATATGATCAAAGTTTAATATAATGCAATGAAATCAACACAACTTGAACTTTACATCAACTTCCTGGAAAATGGTAAAAAATCCAAACCTGTCGGAAAGGAAGAAAGCCAAAACTATTGCAAAGATACTTTGCAAATAGCAAGCTATAGTCAACGACATGTACCTACATGTACAAAGGCCCTCTACAACAAGTCTTTGCTTTCAAGGAAGTGGCTTTCCTACTCGTGCTTGTTCTTGCCCTCATAGGTACATTGGTCACTATACTGCATAATGATGCCCTCTAGACTAGCCCAACATAAACCAATTTGTTGGTGCCAAAATCATCTAGTAATTACAATTGCACCCTCTCTTTTCTTCAGCTTTGGAGAAGTGTTACAATATGTTTTGGGGATCATGGAGGGAATACGTTTTCTACCTCAATTGTTGAGTGTACAAACATCACATCTTCCTGTATTGTACAGAATCCTCTACAGGAATACACTCCCATATTGGTTAAGGCGCAGACAAGGAGGTACAGACAAGATGTAGAACTAATGCATGCATAAAAAGACAAATGCGCGCAAGTAAAAAACTACATGTAAGGAGCATGTAGCAGTTAAGATGGGATGGCTTTGATCTAAAACTAGCACCAGTCACTCTACTGGACTTAAAATTCCCAAGGTTATTGACTTGATCACCAACTTGCTTGGGCAGTGTGTTCCACAGGCAGATGGTGTGTCTGGGAAGAAGTTTACTCAGCATGGTGTTGAGACAGCTGTTGCTGGAGAAGTCATTCATGACGTACCGGTCAGCACTACGCTGGACAGGTTCCATTTTGATGATGTTCTTCTTAGTGGATGGATCCCATACACAGCTGGCATAACCTGCCATGGGCCACATGAAGGAACATGTGGCTCAAATTGTTCTGTGAGAACCCGAGGCATCTCATGCACTTCTTATGGGTGGTGTCCATGTGTCAGTTCCAAGATGGTTGTCTCCAAGTTCTACTCCTCGGTACAGCTGTAGGTAATGCCTCCAAAGGTTAGTTGTGGATGGAGTAGGTAAACTGGCCTGGCTCGCGACATTTAGTGATGTGGAGTACTTGGCACTTTGCTGGATGGCACTCCATAAGCCATTTCTTTTCCCACTACTGCAATGCATCAAGGTCCTGCTGGAGCTTCTCGGCATCGTCAATGTTATTTATGACACGGTAGATAGCACTGTCATCAGCCAACAGCCGGACATGGGAGTTTCAGAAGAGTCTAAGAGATCGTGGATGTACATTGTAGGCCAAGAATAGCAGGGGGCCTAAGACGGTACCCTGGGTCACACCAGATGACACTGAAGATTGATTCGAAGATACATGTACCTCCTCAAAGGACAACTTTGGTAATTCTGCTTTGAAGAAAACTGCCCATCCAAGTGAGTACACTGCCGCTGATGCCGTAGTAATGCAACTTATGAAAAAAGCGGTGATGAGGAACTTTATCAAATGCCTTTGAGAAGTCTAGTCGAATTAGGTCAGGTTGAAGACTTTCATCAAAGTTGTGGCCAATATCAGATATGGTATTAAATGGCAATAATCGACTGTGTAGTGTGGTACATGTACAAGACAGTAGATGATTTTTAAAAATGCACAAGTAGTCCGTGAATCACATTTCAGGCGTGTGAATGTGTTACTGCTTGATGTTGGAGTGTCTTCATTTGTTTGCATAAAGCCCAATAAGCCAGTTGCAAGTTAAATTTGAATAAAATCTGGTACACTGAGTTATCTGATTGCACATAAACATAACAATTTGAATTCCTCAGACTAAAGACACTGTTGCTATACCTCGTGATTCGGGGCAAACTTTTGCATAGCGACCACCATCCCTGGAATGGACAGGTTCCTTTGTGCCCTTCTTATCTATTGAAAACAGTGTATTGGTGCGAGGCATCTCTCAGGTAACTAAGCAAAAGCTTGCCCCAAATCAAGGTACAGCCACAGTGTTTTTAGTACGGAGAATTCAAACTGTTATGTTCATGCGAATTTAAAAAACTCAGTGTACCAGATTCTATTCAAATTTAACTCACAAAAGGCTTATTCCAAATCACTGTGCTTGCTACAATGAACCTGAACAATATTTTAAGACAAAATCAAATTCAAGGAAAGACACAGGACAGGCCATCATAACAGGCAAGCATGAACACAATACTTTGCCTTTACAAAATTTCTGAACCATTTTGCCAAAATGTTCTTGAATTGTTTATTTCAAAAATCTGTGCAAGCATCTTATCCAAAGTACACATTTAGGTTGTCTGAAAATGCTCCAAATTTCCTCAGATCAAATCCCATGAAATGTGATTAAAATTAACAATGTTGGAGGCCACCTCTTGCCATAGTGCAGTTACCGTATCAATTGCTGTGTTCAATAATGCCATTGAACACAAAAAAGACCAGTGGACCTCAAAAATATTCCAACTGCTGAAGCAAATGACTTTGTAATTTATGCATCGGTGAGTGTCAGACATACCCAATCAATTCAGTGCAAAATTGTGTGAATTCCTTTCCTAACAATCCTAAAAAATTTAATATTACAAGAGAGAACAGAATGCTTACCTCATTGTCTTCATTAGCAGCTCGTAGTTTGACGACTGTGGCTTCTCTGGACTGCTCCATTTGTTGGACGCTGAGTTCACGATCTGCCATTGCGCGTTGGATTTTCTCGATCTCTTCTTCTTTGTCCTTCATCAGTAGCTTGAGGTCGTCCACCTGCCCGAGATTTTTCTGTGAAAGGCAAAGAAAAAAGATTTACCTGCATGCTACGCGTATGACTTTCCTCACACAAGAAGGGCGCTTGTAAATACACTCAGAAGTTTTTGTTCTCCAAATTTCAAGAACTTCCCAGTGTCAATTTGGTTTTGAAGAAAGACCACTAAATGGGACAAAAAATCAAAGACTTTTGTATTGTCACAATTTAGGTTGCCAGGCTATTACATAAGAACCCATTCAAGTGGCTGAAATTTGCTAGTCCAGCCTCTTTTCCAATTCAACCACATCTGCAAAGGGACCAAATTTGGAAATAACAAACACCTGTTCATTTGTTCCCTTGAAACTTTGATCACCCACTTGGCATGGAATTCTCACATTAATAACATTCTTCTTAGTTTGTTTGGTTTTAGCTGTAAACAACTGGCTGGCAACCTGAATCTCATGGACATTCATTTTTAACACATCTTGATATCAAAACGCATCTATATCAACAAGCTTTGTCTGCTTGAATGGATTCTTACATAAGAGCACAGAGCAATCTACTCTATGATGGAATCATTATGTTCTTTTGAATTCAGAAATGTCCCTTTTGAGTTTCAGAAACATTCTCAATACTGCCAATATCTGACCAGTTCACCAGCTGGGAGACATTTGTTTAGCTAGTTGGTCATAGTTGTCTTAACAATGAGGCAAGAGTTCAATGCACTACCTTGGCCATTTCAGCATTATTCTTGTATTTCATCACTTCCAGGTTTTTCACATCAATCTGTTTGTACAGCTTTGTCATTTGGTCTTCCTTCTCTTCAATTTCTACACAGCAAAGAAAAGTGAGAATTATGCAATAATGGTATCAATGTTTGCACGATGTTTATTTCTAGGAACTACACTGTCTGTAGAGTTGTTCTCAACATAGTAAACCACATGTCAGACATTGTTCTTTTCTGACCACATCCTTTTTGTTTATCTGAACGACGTAGACATGTTCTTTCAAACTGGGGAAAGGCATGTGAATGTGGCATCAAGTGTCTCATGGATTGAAAGCCCTTAAAAGTATTAAAACTGTGAGTAGTCTGTAGCAATAATGTATTATAAAGAAAGATACCCTCTTGTCTCCAATTTTTTCCTGTAGTCCAATACAGATTTATTGAGGCATCTATTTAAATTTCTAAGGTGTTGCTTGTGTTTTTGGATGTGAGTTTTTTTGTTCTGAAGCTATAAAATAGGGAAGTACATATTTCTCTGTAGATTTCAAGATGATCTGAATATGTCGCATACTGTCTTGACTTAAACGAGACTTATACAAAGATATCTTTGATAGTGTTGACTTTCTATTTATTTAGTGGTTTCAGGAGGTTTATTTTTGGCCAAGACTCTTACCACTTTTGTCAAACAGATCAGAAACAATTGTCTGCAAAAACTTTACCAGTAACTGAAGACTAAATTAAGTTTGGATTTTTGTCCTGCCCGATGTGTATTTTAACACTGTTGTTTGTGATACCCACTGCTACATCTGATTCGAACCAGCCAGCCGACACCGGCAAGTTCAGTGGTCAAGTGCACTAGTAAGCAGAAGGTAGTGGGTTCGAGTCCCACTTGAGTACGCTTGTGATTTTTTCACAAGCCTTCGGGTACATACACTGAGCATACAGTGTTAAAATACACATTGGGCAGGGCAAAAATCCAAAGTTAATTTACATCTCCCTGGCACAAATCCATCTTTGAAATAACTGAAGATTAGTCTTAATGTCATAAATTTTGCCATTTCAATAGAATTTTTGGCACACACTAGGAGATGAGGGTCAATGCCGTTTGAAGAAGCCTGTCTGGCAGTGACTCCAGGAAGTCAAAGACTAAATGTCAACACTAAATCTCAACACTGATTTCAAAATTGGCCATTTTGTTAACTGAGCAGAAGTTTCATCCCAATGTTTGCTTTTGTTGGCTGGGCACAGCCTACCTTGATGTGCCACTACTGTTGTCAGTTAGCACTCACAACGTGCCAGCAGGTGGAACACACCCGACAAATTTGTCAATCATTAACGAGAGAGCTCACCTGTCTGTGCTCCCATCAGCTTCTCAGTCAGGTTCATTATGTCATCCTTGGCTTGCATCAGGGCTTTCTCCAGTTTCTTCTTGCTCCTTGAAAGGAAAACAAGAAAGTAATAAGACATTCAGGTCTTGGTAAACAATGGCTCACAGGTTGACCCTTCCGTTGTGAGTTTTTCTGAGGGAATTGATATTAATGAGACGTACACAAGTGTAACACATCTGTGTGATTTACACTAAGCCTTGGTAAGTCACCTTATGGCTCTGCTGTGTAGGAATTATGTGGTACTTATAATTTTCTGACACATATAGTTGATGAGATCTATGAGCCTTGCATATTGTGCATGTACAATAAATACAATTAAGACCTTAATTTCAACGTCCTCTACCTCCGTGAGCTAGGTTCCATTCCCACTCAGGTCAATGCATGGATTGGGTTTTCAGTTCGTGCCTGATCGCACCGGTTTTCACCAAGGTGTTTATTGATTAATCTCCTAATAAATGAAGCATGCTGTCCAAACAATGAGTTATCACGCTTGTTCTTTTAAAGCACCACTCATCAGCAGTTGCAGCACCGTATGGTGCTGCTGCAAACTTCCACTCATTGCTATGACTATGTTCACCAAGCAAATTGTACGGTTATCTCGAGTTTTATCCAGCTTCTTCTAAAACTGAACATTTCTTCATTGTCTTCTCTCTGCAAATTTCTTCAGCAGTGCTATAGGCACTACTAAGGAACCTTTGGTTTCATCACAAAAAGAGGAAAACATGACATCAAAAAATTCAGAGCAGCAGTGACTTACTTAGATGCTGCCTTGCCTCCGTGAAGCTTCTCCACAATGTTGAACATATCGTGACCGATATCGTTCAGTTTCTGAGCAGCGCTAGAGGCCGTGTCCAAGGCTTCTTGAACTCTGCTGGAGATCTCCTCCAGTTCATTCTCATTGGCTGGTTTGTGTAGGAATTCCTCTTCCTCAATGGTGTTGATGTATGCAGTGAAAAACTGGGTATTGAGAGTACCATGGAGGAAAAATGATCGCCAGTCTATGGTATGGCATGTCATGAAAATTTCTTTTGCAAAAGGATGGTCATAGATGTCCAAGGCAAGCACTCTGTTCTTGATGGGGCAAGGTAATTTCTTTTTGACAAAAGGCACTTGTATTAGAAAACCAATTTGTCATTGGGAACATTTCAATGGCATCAAGGCAAAGACTAGGCACACCAAGACAATTGCCTTTGTTACAACAATGAAGTTCCTTCTCTGGGTACGTGTATGTTACACGTTCTGGCATGTAACCAGGTCAACTCACAGACTTTCTTAAGCTTTGCATGTTATACAACGAGGCTGGGGATAACGTTAGTCAAAAACAACATTCCACACTAGTTCTATCAATTTGGAAATCTCAATGGTAGAACTGGAAATTCTAAAACTTCAGGAATCCAAATAATGACTTTATGAAACAAATGGCCCATTTTTTCTATAGACCTGTGCAAGTAAAGTGTGTCAACAGTGGATGTGGAGTCCCCAGTTCTTGAAGTTTAGCCCTAGGCTAACATTAAAGGGTAACATTAAAGGGTCAATGGTCCATCTTTGGGCCTGGTCAGTACTCTGCAAATCTATGCATGGTATCAATGATAAAGATATACAGAATACGCCAACACTGTCATACGTATTGCATTATTGACCAAACCCCTGTTAGAATTTGGGCATGTATCACTTCAGTATTATGCTTAATGTTTACATTATAACAAATAGGGACCCCTTTAGGGCAAAAGATTGAAAAAACCTCTACCTAATCGGCTGTGGAAAGTATTATTCCACAACCAACTTATCACAGGTTGTTTCGGCCAAAGATACCGACTTGTTAAAACGACAAGATATGTATAACACAATCACAGTCCTTTAAAAAATGGGACTTTACAAATGCCGACCCTTAATGGTGGTCATTTGTTCGAGATTAATTTTGCAAGAGATTTCTTTCTACATTCTAATTTTTTAAATATTCCAAGACACTTGTCGTGGAATGATATTTGCAACAGCCTCTGACCGTGGTCCATGGCCACTTAAGGATCCCAACTGGGAGCCTCTGCATGTGTACAAACAGAGCAATAATCATTCAAGCCTGGTGAAAAGTACGGATGTCATTCACTACTGCAAACAGAAATTGGCATGGCTTGTTGAAATGTCCTCCATGTACATTATGACTGGCACCAAAAAAAATCCCTTGCGTTTACAAGTCATCCGGCATGAACTAGTTAAAATTTGTTTTGCGATCTCAAGTGCATTTGGTAAAAGTGTCAGCTGTTTTTAGATTTGGCATATTCATATTTGGAAGACTTGAGTTGACTGAGCTGAGAGTTGGTCTGATTTTTTTTTTCTGTTGACACGATTTTCTTTTTACATCATGGTCTTAATGTGCTTCCAAACCAGATGATTCACCTAATAATTCAGTCAGTGAAAGGAAAAGTTTGACTTACATCGTTGATCTGTGACAGCAGTTTCAGTCTTTGTCCGGACTTGCTCTCATAACCAACAATAAAGATAGTGACTTCCTGTTGATATTTTCTCTTCTGTATAGTATCCTTGATAATCTTCTCTAGTTCAATCTGCATAAATGGAGAACACTCAATAAAACATAGAAACTGAGAAAGCAGCCAACTGTAGCATCAATTTGGTGAATTTCTTAGTACCGGTACAATGTACATGTACACATTATTGCTTTTGTTTGCAGTGTCATTAAGTTCATATGAATCAAAAGCCAGTCTATCAAACAAAGAAGTGTAACAAAAGTGCATTGTATACTGTACCTCCATTAAGTTTTGGTCATTTTAGTTCTTTGCCCTGTAATCAAATCACATGTACGCAAGGCCTACAAGTCGTAGCAAGAAGTGACCAGTACCTGAACAAATTTGAGAATATTTAATTTTTATGACTCGAGTTGAGTCATTCTAACATAGTGACTTGAGTCGAGTCACTGTAACATAGTCGAGTCAATAAGCAAAAAAAAGTCGAGTCAAGAAAAGTTTTTAGCTCCAGACAATTGAAGTCACCAATATTTGAACACATTTTGATAAATAAAAATGTGAGAGAAAGTAATTTTTTGGCATTTTTAAAATTACCATTGGGTTTCTACATGTGATCACACCACATCCCACTTTGTGACTCAAGTCAGACTTGAATGAGTCACTGACTCAACTCATTACAATTCTGATATCTGCCTGTGCGGTCTAGGGAGATTCTCAATTTCACAGACTTGATCTTGTGAAGAAAATACTGTAGTTCTTACCAAATCAGGCACAAAGAAGGCAGCTTTGTTGTCATTCATAAGTTTCTCATCCAGTTCAAATGCTGCCATTGCCTGTTCAAGAATTCAGAAAAGTATACTGTCAGTAATTTGTATCATTTCTACATGTACGTTCAAAAACTACGGGCAATTCACAATAGTGTGTCTCCAAGAGTTTGCAGTGCATTGGCCAATCATAATGCGTGCAATCTGTCGACCCTCTGAAAACGGGCATTGGGTTGACAAATTTCGTGCATCGTAATTGGCCAATGCGCTTCAAACTCTTGGAGGCGCACTAGTGTAAATTGCCCGTATTGTGTGGTGTAATGATGTATTATTTTTCATACACCTTTTAATGGTGCACAAACCCTGACAAGTGCTCATTTCCTAATGACAGAAGTCTGATGCTTAAAAGTGTATGAATGTACCTTACATATTTCCCAACAATATTTTCTCAACCGTGCAAACCCTACCGATACTAACAGATCTAAACAAGGTATGTAGACATGAAAATATTAGAAATAATGCTGCGCTGACAGGAAATTTCAATGCCATGTTTCCTTCAGCCAGAGAGTAGCTTACTTTCCCCTTCAGCAATGACAAAGACTGCATGACATACGAGTATGCTACTGTTTGTGTCAGATTCTAGTTAGACTTTTCCATGCAATGGGCATTTGTTCTACTGATATGCAGTTACATGTAGTTTAATCAAGAACTACGACGTGTAGTAACTAAATATTTAATAACTCTCGCTGAAGGTAACCCTGGGAAAGTTCCGGCGCAAACTGCATGAACATTGTACGTGTATAGTTCAACCAGTAGTCAGATGCTTTATAACAATTTCCATGCGCAATTTAGTTTACAAGCAAATGACCCCAGTCAGCCTGTAAGATCACCTTCGAGTTAGTGCGCCCTCTCTTGTCTGCGACCGACCGCGCAGCGTTAGTTAGACGAGACACTGTTACGGCAAGCACGGTGTGGGGAAGTTAAAAGATTCTTGCCCCCCGAATTCTGCCCTTCTTGGGCCCGAGTGCCGTAAAGAACTATCGTGGTCAGGTGTTGGAATGGACCGGTGAGATTACAGTTCCTTTTTTGTTGTATTTCTGTCATAAATAGAGTAGTATTTTCTAAAGCTTAGATGTGTTGAAAAGTCTTGACCTTGCCACGTGTAATCTGCCATGTCACACATGACTAGACGCCATCTTAAGACAACGTGGCTTGTGCAGTCCTTTGTTCTCTTGGTAGTGTTTGTTAATAAGTTCAATTGCAAATGAATGTGTCACATTTAATCTTGCAAAGTTCCTCTCATATACATGTAAGAGAATTTTATCGCTGATAAAGAGTTTAAGAGGTCCATATGAGAAATTTCAGCCCTAAATTTCCGCTGTTTGTGAACAATAGAGAGTTTTGCCCTGAAGCTAGAGTTGTGAAATCCTTTGTCTCGGTTTGCCTCAAAATCCTCGGCTTGAGTTGTAATACTGCGAAGTATTAACGTTTACATGTACATGTATAAGATTCACAACTATGCTTGGAGTATTAGTCCATAGTATACGCACAAGTCGACTATATTTTTGTTCCTCATGCATGTTATTTCTTTGTTCTTTCTTTGACTTAAATGTGTGAGTTTAATGTACCATGTATCTTGGTGGTTTTGTACCTGCATTGTTTAATTCTTAAATTTCGATATAGTTGCAGACAGTAGAGCTGACGGAGCTTGAATGACAGAGTTTGAGGCGTAAAGCTGTCACATCACGTGAGCATTCTTATATAAATGTTCTTCCCACATATTTGAATTTATTGCTGAAGAATGTACCGTAGCACATGGTTCGTAGTACCTATTTCAGTTTCCTCTAACCGTGTGACATGTAAAGATAGATTACCTCCCTCGGCCTAAATTGCATCCACATGTTTCTTTATTGACTTTGTACCATCAGTATGGAACCTTCATTAAACTAAATTGTTTTTGCCTTTCTCTTGTATTTTCTCAGTCACCAGAATACATACAAGTAGTCACACAGACATGATTGTGATCAATCAATCTTGAAGATCAGATCTATGGTCACGTGTTATTTGTTTTTCTGCGTTGGAGTGAGGCTGCTAACAGCGCCCTCAATAACTGGCCTACGGAGCAGTTTACACAGCCTATTTTGTAAAAACTCATCATTACTCACATTTCACCGTTGGCTGCAAATCTTGCAGCCTACATGTACATGGTCAGTTATGGTTTCCTCCGTAGTGTTAAATGAAATGGGTTATTCATAACCAGCGGTGGGACTATGCCCTGGGGCCTGGTCCCAAATGGTTGACAAGATAGTCCAAACCATCCGTTGTTCGGGTGGTGTTTAGTCGAACTACATGTATAGTCAACTACATGTACACCTGTACATGTGTAGTCAACTACATGTACACCTGTACATGTGTAGTCAACTACATGTACATGTGTAGTCAACTACATGTCAACTACAAAGAAGCAACGGGAATGGGGAAGCGTGAGTAGAGCCGCATGCCACCGAACAATCAGCCTTTTCACCGTGTAATTCAAAGCGTGCAGAGCACGCAGGGCCTCAAACAGAGAATTTGCAGTTAAGCAGGTGGCCTTCGTGGCCAATCGAGGCTGGAATTCTTGGAGTCGGCTTTCGGGAAGAAATTCCCGTCATCAAGGGGTTAACAGACCATACACAGATCATGTGTCAGTAACAGGTACATGTCCATCATTTGTTTTCCCTATCTTCCTGGTTAGCCTCACCCATGGGGATTGTCACCCGATTTTGTTGATTTGAAATCTTACCCAAGGACAACATTTGAGTGGCCATTCCCAACATGCATGCATGGGATGCCTTAAACTGATTGCCTTTCCATCTACAGCTAGGTTTACACTATGTTCCCAGCAGCCACGGCAATCATGTTTGCCCAAAATGTAGTGCGCCATGGGATTTTGTTAGGTCCTGCTATGTTTCTGATTTCTTGAAAGTAGTTTTTTATCAATGTGCATGAAGTTGCCTTGCTTGGCCCGGCTTTTATACTACCTTCCAGACCACACTCACCGTATCAAACTGTAGTAGGACACAACACGCCGCTTCGCACCCGGCCTGTAAACTGTCACACATCTGGACACTCTGTGATTGACTGCGACGAAGCGGCTAATGTACACCCTACCTTGCAGTGAGAACCGTGACAAAACACCCGCTAAATGCAGCAGAACGTGACAAAACTTGAAAGGAAGGTGAGAGGCTGGGGAATGCACATGCTTCCCGTCCCACTACAGACTGTCTCCAAGTTCTGTTACGGCCTATCACCTACTGTCACATTTTGTTGCGTTCATCCCATTTTACTATGGCCTGCTAGGTTTCTCATCCGCACCATGACTGCCATGGCAAAATTTTTGACACTTTAAAAATTTGGCCCAGCATCTGCAGCAATCGCGGACTGTAACATTTGCCAATCCCATCCTCGCATCGTCTCCTGTCCATACCGTTTTGTTCACGGTGGCTAGAAACATGATCGCTGTGGCTGCCGGGAACAAACCTAGCTTAAAGAGCCAAAGGTACAATGTAAGAGTAAAATGGATACTTTCTCTCACGAAATTCCAGAGCTCTTGTGAGAGTTCAGTGGAAGCATCATTGACACACCACCTCCGCCAAATAAAGGATGTGAGGTACGTCCAAAACCTTCCGATGCATATTACCTTTTAGAAAATTGTGTCTGTGGAAGAGAAACTTTAGTTCACACACCACCATAAACAGACCAGCATGCACCATCACACAAAGGTAAAAACGTTTGTATGGGACGAATTCCTACCTTGCTGCTTGAAAAACGTAACCAAACTTTGACATATGACCCATGGCAGCTTGGTGGGAGGGAGTGAGAGAAACATTTGGAAGGGGTATAAACACCAGAGCATCTGTTCTTCTTACCTGCGCAACTCGGCTGGTTATCTTCTCCAGCTGTTCTTTCGTCTCTTCCACACGTCGTTCCGATCGCGCCTTCAAGTTCTTCTCAATGACAACTTGAGCAGGGGCATCTCCACGGTCCATGACAGTGACGGAGCCCCAAGAAGCTGCATCCTCCTCTGCAGGGCTTTCATCACTGTTGTTCTCCATCACCTCCATCATGATGGTTCACAGGACTACACTAGTGCTGAGAGGGGTCGATACGATTGAATGTCAGATCTTGACAGAAACACTTTTTAATCATCACTCTACTGGTGCATCTCTGATTTTGCAAACAAAAATTCTGTGAACTAACAGAAGGCTGTCTTGAAAGTTATTATCCTCCATGCACATGGAAATATAGTGGGTAACACTAACTGTGCAACTTTCACATTATTGTTAAATGTTTGTCTGTTCTTTTTCATGTTTTTCACAAATTTGAATTGTTCTAAATTTAAAAAGATTTGTATTATAGATCTTTTCAGATGACTATTTGCAAAGTATGCAATGCAAAAACCACAGCATTTAATCCTTAAACAGTTTGTGCATTTTCCCAAACATGCCAAACAGCATTGCCAATTTGCGTAAAACAGACAATTTTATGTCCACAAGGCCAGTCGTGAATAGCAGGGTGAACAATGACAAAATAATTAAATGGTTGTATGTCACAATTCATTGAATAGAGAATGACTAGGCTTCAGACTGGATGACCTGTGAACAGTGAAGCATGGACTTGTTATAGCCTGAATTACACTAGTCACTACAATGAACTCTGGTGTCTTTTTAAAATTCCTTGCTGGTGATATAGAATATAGGAAGTAATGTTAGGACCTAGTTCCACTTTTTTCTTTATGAATTTGATCAAAGAAATTAGTTATACAAAATCACAATCACTTTGAAGTTGAAAACTTTTAGTTTTTAATTACAGGTTTTGCCCTTACACTGACATGATTGACGTGTAGACCAATGAGTCATAAGCTCTTGGACAAGCACTGAGTACATGTATACAGTGTTTATGAGTATACATTGGTGTAAGGGCAAAACCCGTAGCCCTAATTAAAAATTGGAAAAAAGGTTGTTCACGTTGACTAACGTTATACTGCCTGAGTTCTTTGAGAACTCAAAGTCACTACTCCGTCATACTCCATGTAACTTTGAGCCAAGAAGGTTTACATGGTGTCATAACACTATGGGGTTTTGGAATCGAATTTACATGTATGTGGTGAAATGGTTCATAGGTTAGGGCTCATACATGGGAGCAAGAACTTGCCCCCTAGACAGCTGAATTGTCACAATACAGAAGCAAGTAGCTCCCATACAATATTATACACTTATGTTCAAGAAAAAAAAAAGCAAAGACCCTGGTCCTTGCTGTTGCTTTTGTTTAAATTAATGACACTGATAACTTAATTATGGCTTAGACTTTGGTTGATATTAAAGCCTTGATTGAGTTGTTATTTTTGCGGGTTGCATGTGACGTACAACTAGTTGTGGGTACGTGACCAACCGGAACCTCAAACATGTGCTTAGCAACACTACGCAAAAAAAATGGGCACCGGGCCTTTATAACGTGCATATGCACACAAACGTGAAAGGGAACTAACTGCAGCAATCAAGCATTTTGGAAACGAGTGGATCAGGCTGAGACTTTGGTTTCGCTGGTTCCAAAACCACATGTTCAAGCTCTGACTGGAACCAGCGAAACTGAAGTCTGAGCCAAATCCACTCGTTTGGCTTGAATTTACGCACGAGTTTCCATACAATCGGGTATGCATGTGTGTACGTTCATGTGTGTGCATGCATTGCATGCGAGACTGCGGTGTGTGCTCGGTGACATCGTAAACAAAACTGTACGTGTCATGGTTCTGTGACAAGGCTGATCCGAAGTGAAGTCCAAAAGTTCAGGTATTTTTCATGACAAAAGAAACAAACGGTAAAAATATTCAGTTACATGGAATCAAACGGGCATAAGTACTTGCATCCGTCATTATGATTTACGGGCGCATTTCTGAAACAAACAGGTGCATTTTAGGTATACCTGCGCATGTTAGCAAAACTGATTAATCTACATATACCGTATACCTCTTAAAAAGTGGGATAACAAAGTTTTAGAGCATTAGATGGAGTATTTAAAAAAAAAAATTTTTGCTTTGAGTTCTCAAAGTACTGCCTGAGTTAGTACACAACCATCAGACCATAGACATGATCAGATTAGGCCCTAGGGGTCTAGGCCTAGTAGAGGCCCTAGAAACATTCTTTCCTGAAATATGATGTGGACAAAATTTGGTTTGACTGACATGGTACAGCCTGCAGCCAAGAAGCATATAGGCCTAAGCCAATGCCATGTACACAGCCATCGCCAAACATTCCGAAGTCTATTGATAAAAATTGTCAACATTCAACTAACGTTAGATCAAGGCCCGACGTTAATAACATAGGCCTACAGTGTGGACATGGTCGACATCGCGCGTTGGATTGCTGAAACCTTGAAAGAATGTTTACCCAGACCCATTTTTCTCTATTTAATATTTCACGCAATATAGCCTACCTTGCATAAAGTAGAAAGCAATGGTCACGCTTACCGAACATTATCCTTGCCTTTACGAAACATAAATTGCTATTTTCTACGTCCAACACTTCATCGTGCAACACCAACTAAATTCTCTATGGTGGCAGCCATGTTGTTACTTCCTAATTGATTGATCACGTGACAACTGGTTGCTAAGTACACATTCCGTCTGCACCAGTTGACAAAACCCCGTTTACCTGTTATTGATCTGTTGTGACTTGATATGGAATGGTGACTTTGCAACTGAGAATGTAGTTTTAGGACCAAGGGAGAAATCAATTTTCTTGCAAAACATTTGCGACTCAGATGACAAAGCCAGGGGCTGGATGGGGCCGGGGAACGCGCCGCCTCTCAGCTCACGGCGCAGTGAATTTTGTTACCCAATATTTTCAAACAAAATGAAGGTAGGAGTATTGGATAAAACAAAACGATCCCTCCGAAACAAAACGAGAGTGAGCTTCTCTTCGTAGTCATCTTTGCATCACCCATTCCAAAGCAGTCCACCCAGGACTTTCCAGCCATAATTACTGCTTAGAAATGAAGTGTTCAAATCAAGTGGGCTTTTCTCTTAGTCTTTACGTGTGGAGCTATAAAACGTCTCAATGGTTTACATCAATGTCTGCAAAGACATGAGAAATTTTTTTTTCACTTTTACGAACTTATGGTAACAGCCGACCATACCAACGCAAGTGCAGCGTGATCGTACTTGTCGACAGGTCTCGCCAACCGAAATACAAACAGCGATTTCTAGAAGGAAAAGCAGTGCTGCTCTACATCAACCTTGACTTATAATGCCTAAAATGGAGAATCTGAAAGTAATATGCATACTTGTTCATGTCAAATTATTAATTTTTTTCAGTTAAATATCAGTTTTACATCAGGGTGTAAGGCACTGTGTACAACATGGATTTTCACCAAAATAACTGTCAAAAATTGGCGTTCCGAGCTTCGGCATAGCCATGGCATGATCCAGACTGGGTGTAATCGATATGTACATTTACTACGGCCAACAAGCAATAGGTAAAATGATTTTGATTGCTTGAAAAGTTTACACAGCTATGGCAAGCAGTCGCTGGCGTATTCTCCATCCATCTTCCCGTACTAAAGGCTGCTGGGCAGCGGACCCGTCATACGCGTCACGGGTGGATGGAGCTTCCGATGGAATACAGCTCCAAGTGACGAGCAAATGGCAAGGTTAACAGCAAACTCTGTGACAAAACGCTGAAAGCGCCCACTAAACTAGAACTATGATACTCTATAGCCGCCAAAACTGCGTCGCGTCGCCTGGACGCCACGACGCGATGCTACGTCGGCTAAGTCGCATCGAACACCATAATATATGGAACTGGAAAATGGCAGAATTGGGACACAACAAAAAGCCAGAGGAGACGGACGACGGGCAACGGACGACGAGCGACGGCAGATATGGAATTCCGTATTAAATACGGCATAACAGTAATGAGAAAGGAGGCGACGCCACGACACGAGGCGACGGAGCCATCGCGTCAAAAACCCGTCCCGTCCCCTCACGTTGGGCCGACGGGAAGACTCGACGCAATTTTGGCGGCTATAGAACACCATATTAAACAGCCAGGCATGGAACCCGAGTGGAGCTTGAGACCCACTTTAAATCTCTCCGAAACGTGCCATCAAGAAATCTCGTGGGCGTAAATCGGGGGGGGGGTATATCCCTTACCCACTTTTTTGAGGTGGGGAGGGCTACTGAATCCCCCCCTCTGCTTTTTGTGGTGAGCAAAAATATAAAGCGGATTGTGAAGAATTTGTCAGACTTCCAACGACTGAAATGCATTCAATATCACTCAAAAAAGGGAAAACAATATCAAAAGGCCATAAACATGCCATTTTTAGTACATATCTACAGATATACATTAATATCATGAACTTTGACCTCTACATAGAGTCATATTGTGTCATTCCCCTTTCAAATGTTCATGTCCCCCCCCATACACACACACCTTTCCCCATCCCCAATCCCACCACTTTCCCGGTTTCCGGCACAAATTTACGCCATCAGTTGAGAAGCTCGTGGATCTCTCTAGTTGGATTTAACTTCAGCAAAAGAACTTTCCTCTTCTTTTTCCTTAAATTCTTTATTTTTTAAATTAATCAATGTATTAGTTTTACAAGGTTTACAATGTGTTGGTCACATTAGTGGCTACGTGGCCAATTTCAAGATGAATGTACAGTGCTGGAGATCTCAGTAAAATGTAAAAATAATAGATACCAATTAACCACCTTCCTCACATTTAATGATTTATAAATTTTCATTTCAATCTAACCTTAATCCGCTTCTGTCACGCTTCGTAAAGATACAATTAATGAAAATTCAGCAAGCCGTCCTAACCACACCCTTTGCTATTCTAAATAATCACGACCATTAATGACGCGCGAGTATGGTGGGCGCACGACTACCACTGCAGCTTCATTGTTGACATTTGTTTGGCCATTTTCAGCTGACTGTGATTGTGGGCTGACCAGGTGGCAACAGCTTCTGGCCTGCAATCCAGGGGCCAAAAATTACGTATAATGCAACGCCGCCCCGCGAGCAACAACCAGACGGCTTCTCGGAATTCTTTCCGTGATGTAATGAGAAGATGTCAAGTGGCAAATGCATCAGTGCGCCGACGCCCAATATTGATGCGATCATTGCTGCAATTTCATTCGACATTTTGCATTATGTCACGCGAGGCCAATCTTTTTATTTGGGGGTGTGGTCGAACTTGAGGATTAATCATCTGAAAGCAAAGAAGGCCATTCTTTGACCACGAACAACGGCCTATCCTGAATAGTACGATTCATTTCACCGCATATTTTCAGATGCAAGCAGTCCATTTTATAACGTGAACAGCACTGTACTGGCAGCGGCATGAGTCCGAAGTAAATTATAATAAACCCATTTGTAGGCTTCTGTGCCTCGCTGATGAGATTCAAGGAAACTGCTCGAAGTTTGATGATGTAATTAATGGACAACCGACGGCAGTGCGCACTCACTATCGGATCTGCGTGAGTTTATTTGCACACTGTCAGTGTCTTTTAAACCAAAAGGCAAGCCTCGATTAGTCAATAATGATAGGCCTACAAGCTAACGAAAGCGAGCGCGGCCAATTTTCAATTCATTGCAGTGAAAACTAAATAAACTGGTAAACTAGTTACTACAGTATAGATTTAACTCATTCATAGGGCGTCCTCCAACCACGCCCCCTTTAAAAAGTGAACAGTGTTTTGCCCACATTTGAGTGGTTTTTAGAACTTTTTTAACCGGAATTTAATAAGATTTCATAAAAAATGCATCCGCTGAGCTGGGTTAAAATCAAAGAGTTTTCCTCAATATTCTTCAAAGATGATAGCTTTCGCAGTGTTTGTTTGGTACGTGTACGATGTACATCTCATCTTAATATCGGTTCGGCCACGATTTTGAAATGTTTCAAAATTAACTTTCCCATATTTTTCTGAAAGATTCTTTATCTGTATGTGTACGTTGCAGAAGTCCAGCAAAATTCAATTTAGCAAGATTTTGCATCCATACAAAATGCGTGCTCCTTTGCATGATGATAGCCTAACCCCAGGGGAGGGGGCGTTGATGTTGTGCGACAATCACCCCTTGGCCTAACCGAATGGTTCTTCGTACGTGCTCCAAATAAGGTTGAACTTTTGCCCCTGTTCTGCTGTGGGTCCATTGTTCCCAGTATTTGGAATCCTCGTTGGTACTCGGCCATTGTGTCCCTCCCAAAATACCTAGGGTGCCAGGGGATTCACTGAAAGACCTTGCGTTTTGTCATTTAGTCTCTGTTCACGACGTTACCCTTGAATCCAAACGGAATACGTGTAGCACTTTCTGCCGGATGTTCGTGAGTTTAGGGTAAATGCGTCTTGATATGAGACTAGACAATTGTAAGGATGATTCACGTACTACATGTATTTTTTGCTCAATCGCGCCTTGCCATGCCGTACTATACTGTCAGCACGCTACACGCAAATCGTCAGGTCATGGAGTGAAGATCAACAGCGGCAGAACGTCATTCTCAATCCTACCTACATTCCCAGCCTGGTGGCAGAGGAGTAATCTTTTGCAACTTTTGCACTTAGGAATTAAATCTAGAAGAGATCCAACGACTGTTCTAAATTTAGTTGTCACAATATGGTGTAGTTTGCGGCGGACGTTGCGTGCAGGATGGGGGATACCTACCGTGTTTTGCTTCTTGTGTACGGCGTGTGTCTGGCTGTGACCGCTAGAAGTAGTGGCGTTGGACCGCCAAGACCAGTAGCATCATTGAACGACCAACATCAGTACATCTGCTCTCTGTAAGTTTCAGTTAAATGTCTCCGACCTGGTTTTTGCAATAAAAGGACGGAAAGAGTTCCACATACGGACAACATGTCTTGTTGCCTCTGTATACCAACCTATCATGAGACTTGTCTCAAAAAAGTGTTTTCTAAGTAAATGCTTCAGAATTTTCTCGGCTGATTTTATTTTTTAGGACATGTTATCACTTTCCTACGGTTATTGATATTTAAGGGAAAATTAGTGTTGTCTGTATATGGAACTCTTTCCGCAAGGACTTAGGTTACCTCAGTAATATTGAATTTGTAAACAATTACAACAATGATACATGTACATGTATGCCAGCAGACGGTGTGATAAATTGAATAGATGCCAAGTGTTGTTTACATGGAAGGTGCAAAGCATCCATTACTTTCAGGCTATTTTATCGCTTTAAAGACAACAGGTTGGCCCAGCTTTGTTGTTGATGTACCCTAAATTTAAATTATATGTACCTTACAGGCTTATGCATATATGATGCAAGATATGGCACTGTATGGGACGGGGAGAACCCCCCCCCCACCTTTGTGTTAGTCATTTTTTGATTGGAATCTCAGGAATTCTTTACAGACTTCTAGGGGGATGTGTTAGGTAACAATAGTCTAGAGAGTGTATAGGGATTGGACATGTGGGGGGTACCCATCGGCCCCATATCGGCTCGGTATGGAATACAGCCCTTACATGTAAATTAACATGGTGTATTTTTATTGGTTGCCACTAATGCCTTGACAGAGCAACACTTTTACTACAGTTATCACAGTAAGTGAAGTTTAACCAAGCTTGGACGATCAAGCTTGATTATATATCTTGAGTTTATTTATCTGCTACAAAGTTCCAGTGAAATTCTATTATGGCCTATTTTTCCAATTTTCCAATACTGAACTCTTTGAAATTACATTGTATGCCCCAGATAAGGAAATTATTTTTGTACAAACTCGTAGCTGGTTATACATGTACGTACTGGACAAGAGAGGAAGCAATAATGACTTTTTATCACCTGTAACTAAATTCTTAAATACATATTGATGTGGGATTTTCTGAAATTGTTTAAGTGCACCATGTCCGGGAATTTCATGTTACTTGGATTATGCACAAAGATCGAGCAGCATGTATGAGGAAGGTAAAATACATGTTCATGTGCTTGTACTACATGTAGTTCTAGTATTAATTTAACTGGATGATTTGAAGTTTTTCAACAAAGACGTTTGGCAACACTGCATGAGACAAGTTTTTGGGGAAGTAACAGGAATATTGAAGTGTGCCATGTTAGGGGACTCCACTGTAGTGATTCACTAGGGCCAGTTCAACTGTACAGTAGTGTGCAAGATTCTCAATTTTCTCACCTAACAGAAGTCATGAAAACCTGGCACTTTATCCACGACAAACAAACAACTAGATTCTGTCCGCACCTAATTTGCTACACTGTACATGTTGCCACTGGTCATGAACTCAGCTACATGTACTAGTACATGTACAAGGAGATAAATTCCACAGAATGGTTCCCGTGAGGTTTGAGTCTAACTGTATTGCACATGTACAAGAAGCAATTGACTAATGAATAAACTACATGTATAGTGTACAGCTGAACTTGCTTCATGATGAAATTTGTAGAAAATAGCCATTTATAGAATGAACGACCAGGGTATGTTTTGTTACCAGGATCTCGTCAGAGATAATGAATGAGTTTGATTTAGGGTTACAACCTTTAAACAACTGAAATACCAGTAATCTGAAGTGAAATGGGCAGTTGTTGTGGAAAGTTAAGTTGTGTTTTGCACAAGTGTACGTGTAGATTGTTACCGGATGATATAAATATTTATAATCTTCATTTTAATTATCGCAGTCTTCCTGTATACAGTGTACCATACATGTACTAACGTTTCAAGATTTTTGTGATTTTTTTGTTTGCACTCACTGGTTCTTCTCAGAACCACCACTCTTAAACACGTACTTTGGGGAACAGATCAATTCCATGTGGTTTACCTGCAAACTTTCAGCAAATTTTTGTACCTTCACTTTTGTTATTCAGCCACACCTGTAAATTGAAGCTACCGGTAGACTGGTTCAGGAAAAGTACATGTACAATGCTCTACCTTTTTAAAAATTTCCAAAACCAACCACCAAACACATTAACTTGTTTTACTTGGCCTATATACACTGTACATACATGTATATACGTGTACAAAGTACAAGTACATGTAAATGGGATCGTGTTGCATGAAAACATTTGGACATGTTCTGGTTACCTCCCCCGAAAAACATTTTTCAAACAGTGAAATTATGGTCTAGTTCCCAGCTACTTACTCTGTTCCTTTTGGAAATTTAAACCACCTGAATGTGAGTGACTATTTGCACATGTAAATGTGCCTCCATGTTAAAAAAATACCCCCAAATCCCACCTTTTTTCACGCTTTGCTCTGATACCCTGTGTGTCTACTGTATGTTTTTTAAGCTTGGTAAAACACAATCCCATATTAAAAATTTAAACCTACCGCTAGTAAATCTGTTCCGATATTACGGGCTTAGGACATCACTGATGTCAACAAAAGATGATTTGCATCATCATCAGTGGAATTATCTGACGATTGTGTTTTCTTGTGAGCACATGCCTCTTCCCCAATGCAAAATACTCTCAGGCTAGCAAAAACAAATGGTCACGCCACTTTGGCATGCCTTAGAGAGTCAACAGAACATGAAAACCATCCCATTTGTCATGATGCCTTCACTGACTTACTCGTACCGGTACATGTTCAAGACTCATCATGGTCTGGGTAACATTCTTGAGATGTGTGTACTTGAGTTTGCCTGAGGTTTATCATTAACCCTAACCCCTGGGCTGAAGGTAAAAATTGAGCACTGTTAGATTTAATAGCATTGACCGTGCATGTACCCATGCCTCCAGAACAAAGTGCTCTGAATTAGAAAAACTCTATTTGGCGATATTGTCACTGTATCATATTTCAAGACCTAAATACCTAAATGTATGACTAAACCATGAATGTTCAAGATTAACTCTGGAAAATTCTAATAGATGTACATGTACCCGCACCGGTACTGAACATGTACTTCAGTTCCTGGGGAGGCATTTGAAGAGAATTTTTTTCTCCAGAAGCGCGGTACTGTACCCCAGTATTTACAGCTCTCAAGTCTGCACCACAACATGACAAGATCTGTTTGTCATGATGCTGTCACGGTTATTTTCAAATGTCCGACTGGGCTGAGTAATTCCAACAGTATTGCATCTCCTTCAAGACCTACATCTTTCGAGGGAAAATTCCAGAGATGGGCAAGCTGTAAGAAGTGGCCAGTATTTTCCATTAACTGTTGTTTGGAACTGGTGACATAGAGATCAGTCATGAGTTATGAGGCCGTTACCTTGAAGAGCTGCAAGATTAGACGTGCAAACTTGCCTCTGGTTGATTCGAGAATTTGGTGGAATTGTTTTTGTTTTGTTTTATTTTTACAGCAATTATGAATAGAGTTTTGTTAGAACTATGTTTTAATTTTTTTCACAATGGGATTACACATGTACATTACAGAACAGTAAGTTTAAAACCTAATACCAAAGCATTTTAGGACATGATTCATTATAATACACCATGTATATTCCTACTTAAGCCTACTGTTATTCCTATGGTACTGTTGTCTGTGGTATATTCAAGATGACAGATGTGCCTTGTTTAGAAAGCCTTTGGAATAATTCAGTCGCCAGGAAATCGTAGTCCTTTACACCTTCAGTACATTCATCAGTGGAAGACAGCTTTGGACAGAGAAGTCTGATTTTTATAGGGAAAACTAATAGTAACTGAGTGACATTTAGGCTGTGGTTAATAGGTACCGGTATATTACATTAGATCTACAGTGTCGCAGTCATGGTTCATTATGAACATTAAATATGAAATGATAGACATTAAATTACCGGTAATTCAGTACCTGATAGAGACAGTACATGTATGTTGGAGGCTTTTTTTCTCACAGGTTGTGAATAACCTTGGGTCATTATGCAGGGGAAGACCTCTGTATAAATGGTCATTGTTATGAACTTAGCGTGGTCATTATACATGTACATGTAGCTTAAAGCATGCTGTTAATGCATATTATCATTGCAATGAGGTTTGCTCCAGGCCTGTGAAAAGTATTACCCGGAGGAAAATGTAATGCGTGACAAGTTTGATGAAGGATTGAATTCCATACCATTTCTGTGCGCAGGAATAGGGCTACCAGTCAATATGGGTGTACACTGTACATGTACATTTATAGATTTCTCGTGTGATTTATGATGTGTATCATGTATACATACATGTACCAGTGTTGCAGGACTGGAGTCCAGGACTTAGACTTTTGTCACTTTCTTTGTGACTCAGACTCACATTGACAAATGATTTGGACTTGGACTGTACCATGATGACTTGGACTCAAGCGTAGTGACGCATGACTTGAGTCATGTATTTTCCCATTAAAAAAATTGCCAATTTGTGTGGCGAGCGTAACATTCCTTCATGACACAACTTGACACTGGTCTAGATGGTGGATTCTCTTCCTTTCTGATAAAAAAGCTAACTTTTCATCTGTTGTGAACTGTACTTGTACCATGATACCGTATGTAGTCTCTTTGGAAAGCAATTACATCATGGCGGTCATTTGTAATCTGAACAAGTATGTCAAGCAAAAACCACAGCATTCTAGGTACCAGGACATGTGTATGTAGCCAAAAAAACCTCACCAGATTGGTGAAAAACTTAAAACAAGTGACTCAGACTCATGACTTGGACTTGAGGCTTGTGACTCGTAACTCAGACTCGAGACTTATGATTTGCAATTCGGGTTCGACAGTGGTGACTCTACATGTACATGTATAACACTGATATACACTCAATGTACATTTACATACATGTATGTAGACACTTTCTGTCTTATGCAACAGGACCCCCTCGATGGTGGGAAAGAGCCATGCATACATGTACATGTATAAGCAGTGCAT